TTGCGTGGTGTGGGGGGGAGGCGGGAGGGGGGCCCGCCGGCAGTCTCTGGGGGAAGGTGAGAAGAGGCAGTGCTTCTTCCCAGCATGGGTGCACTTGCCAGACTGGCACTCGCTGGCTGCACTCACTTGCCGGACTGTGGCACTTGCTGGTGCCCGGGTGCTGAGGCGCTGAGGGGAGGTGCAAGGCGGGCCCGCCGGCAGTCTCTGGGGGAAGGGCTTCTTCTGGGCAGCATGTGGGCTTTTGGTGGGGGCGGGTCCCAGCCAGGCAGTGGCGGTGGTGCCAGCGGTCACCCGGTCAGGGAAGCCACCAGGAGATCTGCTTTTGGCGGGGGCTGGGGGGCTTGGGGAGGGTCCTGTTTTGCACCCCTAGGGCCGGCCGGTGCTCTAGGCGAATGCCTAGTTTGCCTAGCGGGGGAGCCAGCCCTGAGTATTGCATAGGACCCTCTCCTCCCCTAAACCTGTCCTCCTCAGGATCTACACGCAAACCTCCAGGAATTTCCCAGTTCAGAGTTGGCAGGCAACCCTAACCAGATTTCATCATTCATACCCATCACACTTAGCTCTATGCACTTGCTGGAAAGCTGAAGTTGGCCACATTTCCAAAGTGGCTCTAAATGTAGTCATTGCCCTAGTTCTGGCAGAGGTAAACCAAAGCAATAGTGGTAGCTTTTTTATGGATGCTGCATCAACTAATGTAACAAAATTATTCAGGATGACTGTGAAGAGTGCCAGGAGAATCACCACAAATTGAGTGAGTGGGCGACAATGAAGCAGATGAAGTTCACTGTTGGTGAGTGTAAGGTGATGCACAATGGGACAAAAAAATCTCACCCAAGAATAGACTAACAGGGTCTAGACTTGCTAAGACAGAGAGGGGAAAAGGTTGTCAAGGTGATGCACATTGGAGCCAAAAATCCTAAATATAAATACACATTGATGGGGTCTGAACTGGCAGAGACTGAGCAAGAGAGAGATCTTGGAGTTGTAGTGGATAACTCACTGAAAATGTCGAGACAGTGTGTGACTGCAATAAAGAAGGCCAATGCTATGCTGGGGATTATTAGGAAAGGGATTGAAAATAAAACAGGCTCTGCCTTCAAATCTTCAGGTATTTCTGAACACAGAGTTGGCAACCCTTCCACTACTTGTCCGATCAAACAGGGATATTATGTTTTCAAACCTTCAGCCTCCTGGAAAACCTTTTATAAATCAGTCTCATAATCCCTGCGTGTTGCAGGGGATTCTGGGGTATATTCTAGGGTGTGCCCTCAGTTCTTTTTTGATCCATAAAAGGACTTGTCCTTCTATCCCATGATTTTTGAGCTTACTTATGAGCCTTTGATGAGGAACTTTATCAAAAGCTTTCTGGAAGTCAAGGTAAATAATATCTATTGGATCCCCCTTGTCCACATGTTTGTTCACCCCCTCAAAGAACACTAATAGGTTAGTGAGACAAGATCTTCCCTTACAGAACCCATGTTGAGTCTGCCTCAATAGGTTTTGTTCATCTATGTGCCTACTAATTCTTTCCTTAATAATGGTTTCCACCAATTTACCCGGTATCGACGTCAGACTGACTGGCCTGTAATTTCCCGGATCTCCTCTGGAACCCTTTTTAAAGATGGGAGTGACATTAGCTACCTTCCAATCCTCAGGAATGGAGGCAGATTTTAAGGAAAGATTACATATCTTTGTCAGGAGATCTACAAGTTCACTGTGTACAGGGGAAGATAGCAGTGTTGGGCAAGTCTTTATAGGTAGCTTCTTGGCTATTTTTGGCAAGCCATCTTGGTCCAGATCTTCAAGAAGTTGGGAAAGACTTTTTTGTTTGTTTGTTTAGAAAAGTTTCATGTCCTTAGATGATGGGATTTTGTAAGTTTGCTTTTCTGCTGCTTTTGAAAGGTTTGCTATCTGGTGGTGATTTTCTTATGCTGTTTTACACTATTATTGTAATTAAATCTTATTGTTAACTGCTACAAGAACCTGCTAGGTAGGTATTTCTTGGCAGCACAGAAATCTTAGAATAAATGAATGAATAGATTAAATACTGATGTTCACAGTGAGAAAGCTTTCAAGGAAACTCCAGGGTTTCCCAGAACAAAGCTTGAAAACCGCTGAGCTAATTTAAAGACAGCTGGACTGAGCTTGGTGAGTTATAACCCACAAGGCATACTGTGATTGCTCAGTTCTGCTGTAGGTTATATATAGTTAAAACCATCACACTTCTCCAGCTATTAATTTCCCTGCTCTTTGGTTTAGTTTTGTTTTTAATTGTAGTGAGATGCTTTACCTTAATTCACTTGAGAAGAAATCTGCTCCTCGTAGGGTTGCCAGTTCTAGGTTGGGAAGGTCCTGTAAACTCGGGGGGGGGAGCCTTAGGAGGGGGGGAGTTTGGGAAGGGAGCTCAGCAGAGATGTGAAGCCATACAGTCCACCCTCCAAAGCTGCCATTTCCTCTAGGGGAACTCATCTCTGTAGTTTGGAGAGCAGCTGAAATTCTGGGAGATCTCCAGGTCCCATCTGGAGCTTGGCAACCCTATGTGTTGAAGCAGGGCCAGAGTATGACTTGATGAGGCCATACGCTATATCAGTAAGAGGTCCCATATGAATTTAGAAATAAAAACTGACCTTTCTTCTGGTTTCTCTCAGGCGACCAAGCAATTGGCTGGCAGGGAATTAAATGGAGAACAGCCTGACAGTTGGCTACCACCAGCAGCGTAACATCTAGCTTACTTCCTCCTGCTCCACAGATATCTAAGGCCTGGGTCTGACCAGAGGTGTGAGTTGAAGGGGTCTTGTCCTGTTCTTAAGCTGAGGGTTGCAGCCTTGTACTGGCAGGAAGCTCAGTCAGTAGAGAAAGGAACACTTGCTGTGTACTTAGAAGCCTCCCCTCCCATCTTGTTTTTTGTTTCTTTTGGCTTTTCTCTCTTTTGTTTACTATAAGTTGTTTGAGGTACCAGTCAATGTTCCCTCTAAGCTGTGGAGTCTTGCGAGCAAAAATTCTACTTTGTGAGCTACTGGCATTAAACCTGTGAGCGAGCGATTCGGCTACTGCATAAATTAGTTTGCTCTGGAGCTATCCTTCCTGAGCTAAGACAAAAATGTGTGAGCCGGAGGCTAAAAAACTGTGAACTGGCTCACACTAACTCAGCTTAGAGGGAACATATCAGATCGATATTGGTCCCAATATGGGAGAAGCTCTGACCTGGATGGCCCAGACTAACACGATCTTGTTAGGTGTTGGAAGGTAAGCAGGGTCAGCCCTGGTTAGTAGGGATGAGCACAAACTGAGAAAACATGGTTCACTTCGCAGTCCCTTTCAATGGGGTTTGCCGAAAGCCCAGAAAACAGCTGTTTTGAGCTGTCTTGTGCAGTTCCTTTAAAGTTCAAAGGGACTGCAGAACACAGCATGAAAAACAGCTGCATAGTAGGGAGGCGCTCCCCGCCATGCAGCTCTTTCAGGTTGTCTTTTGCAGTCCTTTTAACGTTTAAATGGACTGCAGAAGATAGCCCAAAACAGCTGAGTGGCGGGGAGCACCCCCCCACCACTCAGCTGGTTCTTCGGCTTTTTGCAGGGAACAGAAAGCAGGGGTTTAAAGGGACTCCGAGTCCCTTGAGACCCCGCTTTCTGCTCCATCCACAAACCACCAACTGCTCAAAAAGTGAACCACGAACAGGGCAAAATTTGTCACGAATTCTGCTTTGTAGTTTGGTCTGTGCCCATCCCTACTGGTTAGTACTTGGATGGCAGACTGCCAAGGAAGTCCAGGGTAGCTACGCAGATGCAGGCAATGACAAAACCACATGTGTTCGTCTCTAGCCTTGAAGACCCTATGGAGTCACCATAAGTCATGTGCAACTTGATTGCCCTTTCCACCTTGATTGCCCTTTCCCACTAATAATTAAATTAATTACATAAATAAATTGACTGTGCAATTTATCAAAGCCTGGGTGAGTGGCAGCCATAAGCTTAGACTGGGGGTGGAGATAATAAATAAATTGACTGTGCACTTTATCAAAGCCTGGGTGAGTGGCAGCCATAAGCTTAGACTGGGGGTGGAGATAATTTAAATTCATGACGCCTTAAACTGTAATTTATCTAGTTTATCCCTCAATCCCACTCTGCTTTGGAGCTCTTTTCTGCTCCATACTTACATATGATGAGAAGGCTGACAATACATATGATGAGAAGGTGGACTGTACAATACTTAATACCCACCTGTCTATGCGTAGTTGGCATACTATGCCCAAAATGTCCACCTCTTCTTTGTCCTTCAGCTGCTGGCATCCAATATGTGTAGCAATAAAGCAGCCTGTCCGACCAATTCCTGCACTGAAAAAACACGAAGACCAAATGAGACTACACAACGTCACTGAAGATTTTGGGAGTGAAAAGGTTCTGAGTATCAGAAGAGGGAGCAGAACCATTCACCCCTACCAGGTATTAATACTGTTTCTCTTCTAAAACAGTCTATGGGAACTCATACATACAAATCTTGATACCAAACCCCTCATAGGAAAAAAAAGGACTTGGAAAATCATTAGTGAATGAAGGTTTCAGTTTGATCAGATCGATATGGAAATGGCTCATCTGATAATCCTTAACCTGCTTTGTTGCACTGCACTTTAGTATGTTCCACTGCACTTTAATAGGCTACAAAAAAGGACCTTGCCAGGAGGCTTCTGTAGGAAACTCATGTCTACCTGGAGTGGGTTAAACATCCAAAGCATGCACCCAGAAACAGAGCAACAGAAAGGACAGCCAAGCTGTATCAATTCATTATGATATGCCCACTGGCTACCAGCCAACAAGGTGGAGTTAGGCAGCAGGAGGAGGCATATCATAATTATGTAAAGGAATCGGTTAGGGATTACAGAGTGGGAGGGGAGGAACTCCACCCAGGACAGCTATGTATGCTGGCAGCTCCATGGTCTTTATAGTTTTACCTTAAGGGTTGGCTTTCACAGTCCTCTATGGGAAGGAAGATACATAGTTCTCAAATCCTGGACTCTTAAATCAGAATCTGTCATTCAGGGCAGTCAGGGGCAAGGAGCTCCAAACTGAGGGAGGCAATGATAGAGTGGTAGTAATGGGAGAGGAAATGGCTGGCTGCTTGGTGGGGAAATGAGGTCCAAATATAGCGTCTCCCCTACTCTTTGCACTAGGGTAATTTTTATTTAACTCCAGGTGCTGTTTCTTCCAACACTCCCCAGTGTTGGCAGTGAGGGGGAAAGACATCAGCAAAGACCCACTTTCTGTTGTTTCAGTAGTTACAACAATAGTCTATAACAGCTTTTATAGAAGCTGTAGTCACCATTCTGATGGATTTAGCAAAATTTAGGGACTTCCTTGTCTTAGATAATGGGCACATTCTGGACCCAAAATCAACAAGTGATGGATTTCTTTCATTAAATTTAGATTACATTCCATTCATCTTACTGGAATAATAGAATAACATCATCTTGAGAGGGGGGGGATGCTAGTATTACTGTTCAGCCTTAACAGATATCCATACAACTTAAGATCCAGTGCAGTGTATCGGTTAGAGTACCAGACTAGCATCTGGGAGATTGAGGCATGAATCTTCACTCTGCCATGGAAGCTCTGACATGGGTGACTGTGGACCAGTCTCAGCCTAATTTACCTCACAGGTTGTTATTGTCCGGATAAAATGGGTGAGGAGAGAATGATATTGTAAGCCACTTTGCCTCCCCGTTGGGGAGAAAACTGGGGTATAAATAAATAAGTTAACAACAGATAAGTACCGGTAAATAAATAACAAGTAAGTAAGTTACTGCAGATTTGAGGATGGAGCCTGAGTGGGGTTTAGGGAGGGGAGGCGCTTTGCCAGGGGTGTAATGCTATGCGGTCCACTATCCAAAGCAGCCTTTTTTCTCCAGGAAAAGTGGAATAAATGTTTTAAATAAATAAATAAGTGGTTTACATAGTCTAGTGATTATAATTCTGGCAGATCTCCGGCCCCCCACCTGGAGTTTGGCAACCTTATCCCAACCTACACGTTCTGTGCCTGATCCCTAAGACAGTGAAGAGGTTGCACTGCAAAAAAAGTTGATAAGCCCCAGCCCAAATGAAGTCTTGATGCTGGGAAAGGGAAGTTTCTAGTATACTGGCAGTTAACAGGCTTTTAGGCAGGCAACTTCAATAGCCTCTTCCCCTGATCACTGACCCACTGTATGCTCATGCTAAGGCTCCTGTAGTATTGAATTATTGGTACCGCTGCAGTTATATGGGAAAGCATTCTTACCTACAGTGCACAACAACAGGTCCTGTGTTCTCTGAAGCCCGCAGAATCTTTTCTGCCTCCAAAACCAAGTTCAAGAAAGTCTTGACTGATTCTGGCGTCTTCTGGTCTGGCCAGGATGAGAATACGATGTGCTTCACTATGCGACATTCATCTTTGAGCTGTGAATCATCATAATATTAAAAAGATTTTATTTCTAGTTTTTTATTCTCCCTTTCTTGACCAAAAAAGAAGTTTATGGAGTTTAACAATGTGAAAAGGCACAAAAAGAATTAAAAATAAGATAATTTCCACCTCGAAAAATGCATGAAGTGAAAAACAGTTATGGATCAAATTGTAAAGCTGAATCACAATTTTTTTCTTTATGTTTCCATTCTACTTCCAAAAATAACCTTTTGCAGGAGTTTGCCCAGGAACAATCTAAGGAACAATCCTTTTCTCATTCCATTTGCTCTCATACACAATCAACAGTACCTTCTGTTAGTCTGGTATAGATTTTGGGCTCAGTTAAAGCCTCCATCTTTGAATGAAATGAATTTCAGTCCCTAGCTCAGAGGTGTTTGGCATCAGATACACTATCCCTTTTTGATGAGTCTGCAGCAGTATAGCATTGGGTAATTGTTTGTATTCCAGGAGAAACATCTAGCCACAAGTAGCTGTAAACACTTGAAAAGTGCCCCTTAATATCGAGGAAACACTTTTGTTCAGAGCAGAAGCTGGTCCAAGTAGATTTTTACAATAAAAGACTTATCCCCCTAAACAGCCCTACCTGTATTTGGCCCTGTAATAGATTTGCTGTGGGAAGAAGCATGGATTGCTGGACTTTTGATCTTATTTTGCATGATTTTTTCAATGGCTTTGGGAAAACATGTAGATTCAGCTGAAAGAGCCCAGAAGCTGCTGTGTCAACTTAATTAAACAGCTGCTGAGATACAAAGAGAAGTCTGTAGGTTACCGATACAGAAAACATTATTACAGGCAACCAGATTGCAATCAGAACCAGGTCCCACACAAAAGGAAGACCCCCAAAACCTCTTTATGTACAATTGTGCTATACAGGGGTACCCTTCCTTGGAAACCACCCTGAAAGTCATCATTTGACGTCCCCAGGAGGCATTTGTGATCGCTGAAAAAGCGTGATGTGTACCAGATTCGGAGTCACACCTGCAGCTCTGACAAACAAGAACATTCTCATACATCAATGAGAACCATCAGCGGATGTATTAAACCCACTCCGACTTGTTGACTACCCACATTGTGCCACATCACTCCCCCACATCTCCAAAGACAAGATGCTCTTCTTTGTGAATATAGAAAGATAATTGAAAACAGAGAGTTGCCTAACCACACAGACATGGCTGACGCAGGCCTATCCAGACTAAGATCCTGACACCCAGCAATAAAATCTGCCCAAATCCTGCAATCTGCACAATAAGATCAGCACAAATCATGTTGTTTAAATCGGGCAAAATACCAGGACCCGAATGTGATTGTGGTGCAGCCCACCAGACTATTTTCCAGGGTGATGTGATGGAGCCTTTTGAACTCTCCCCAGCTGCGATTGAGTGGATTGAAAATTTAGATATTAGCATTTAAGGGGATTACCGAATTGGTCTGCATATGTGTTGCATAAACTTGGTTATGTATTTTATATTATTATATGCTTTCTGTGTGTAACTCTGTCATACGATAAATAATTCCCATGGATAACAAGACATGCTTTACCAGGCATATTGTTTTAGGTGTACAGGAAGACAGATGTTATGAGTCCCTGGGGATTTTTGTCCCCTGGGTGCCAAAGAAAGGGGAAAATAAAGTCCATGCCTCTGGGGAATTTCAGACAGGTGATATCTCCCGGTAGGGAACCGGTTCTCAAACGGGTTCTGGTCTGTCATTTCAGACAGAACCCGTTTGAGAATCGGTTCCCTACCGGAATGTAACTGCCATTTCACACACAAAAGCTTCAGTCCCATTTAGGAACCGGGACTGAAGCGTTTTACCTGTCAACTGCTTCTGAGTAGTCTCCAGTTCCCTCTCCCGGTTCGGATACGCTTTTTTCCCGCCTTTTTTCGCCCGCACGGGCGATCTCCGGCTGTTTTTTTTAAAAAAACATTCGCTTTATAGCGTTACAGTGTTTTGTTATACTGCTATAGCGCTATAGCACTATAAATCGAACGTTTTTTTTAAAAAAAATCAAACAGAAAATCCTGGGATTTGAGGATTTCAGCTGATGCGGAGCAAATGAGGGAAGCCCCGGGCCAAAAGGAAGCATCGAGCCAAATTGTGTGAAACCGACCAGATGCTCCGGAGGAAAGAGAGGCTTCACCGCGCTTCATCGCAGGAAAAAGTCCCGTGAGAAATCGCCCTGGGTAATGTGAAATTCCACTCTGTCTCCACCTCTAAGGAGTGAGGTGCCACCATAGTGCAGTCCCTGACCAAGGGAAATGTGGGAAAGGTCCAACACAAGTCTGGTGTTTTCACCATCCATTCAGGTATAATGTAATTTCTTTCTGTGGTTTATCATGCAACAGAGTCTTCAAACAAAGCACAAGTTGCAGCAGCAACACCTTGCACTGTGTTTTCGTTGTGTTCCCACTAGGATGATATGAACTCACAGTAGCAGAGGACTTCTGCTTAAAGAGATAGAATTCACATCATAGCCCTTCTCTCCCCAGCCCTCCTGAGTCACTAGCCTACCTGCAGGCCAATATCTCGGATGGTGTATTCTTCACACTCGCACGTGTCTTGCACAGTGATCATGAATGACCCATAGGTTGCCTCTGTTTCAGGCCAGTAACAGATACATTTCTGAAAGCAAAAAACACAGATCCCCACAAGAGAAAACAGCAGCATAAGTAGCTATCCCAGAATCCTAGAATAACACAGAAGAAGGAGCAAAGCCATTCATCCTTCAGACCCAGTCCTGCCAGACCCACATGTGCAATTCAGACAATGGCATGACATAAGCCAAGAACAGGTGTACTGCACATAGGTGAGTACACAGAAAATGCCAAATTAGATAAGGCAGTGGTACCTGGAGAGTCCTGATATGCTTTTTATAAAATATTCCTGCAGACTTGTGGGAGAAAGGGAGCTTGAGAAAATACTGGAAGCAAAGTTGATGCCTGGGACCTAGCCATTTACACTTCCTTTGTACTGCATCCATTGCCTCCTGGAATTTTAAAGCTGTAATCCTATAAGGACTAGGCTAGAGTGTAAACAATTGACCCAATTCCCACTGTTGTTATGCTGCGGTTTGAAGCTTTGTGACCTGAAGTTTACAGAGATTCGTTTACATTCTAGAAGAGTAAAAGCATCATTGAAGCTTAGGTTGAATCCACATGAGGTTTGTTTTGCAGCACTCAAGGATTACTCTCCCACAATTAGCTGGAAGTATAACTGAATTTATGGTTCCACATGGCACTTACTATAGCATTATATTTTCCCCAAAAGATTCTATGTCTATTCAAAAGTAAGTCTCTATCAACACTTTTCCTTTTGTTCCTTTGTTTTCAACCTAATTAATTAATTTCTACTTCTCACCTGGCCAGCCAGATCTCTTACACATTCAAGAATTAATTGAAAACTATCAGAAAGGGGGTGGGTTTAAGTATTCTTTTTCAACTTGTAGCCAGCCAAACCCACCGCTCATATTTTTTTATTTTACTGTTCATAATTGAAACAGCATATTTATGAAATAATGATATAAAAGAAAATAAATGAGTGGATGACCATCCTCTGTTGAGCTCATTACTTGCTAATAGTCATTGATCTTTTAAAGATGAATGTATTCTCCTGAATGAGGCAATTTATTTGCAGGGTGGGTCATAAAACCAGAGATGTGTAGGGAAAGGGGTGCAATGGAATAGAAGAGAATGGCAGTTTTTCTAAAATTTGAACAAAAGCAGAGCTGGGACTTTTTAGCTGGAGCACAGCTAAGTGGAACCGTCTTGGGGAAGCTTGGGGGGGTGTCTGTGTAATTATTTTTTTCAGGAGACTAATAAAGGATCAGCAATTTTGCAACCTGCTTTAAGAGGCTGTTGCTTTCAATGGTTTCTGCTTGTATATTTACCAGTAATTACACCATACATTTTCAGTAGTCTCTTAGTCAAAGGAAACAAAATCCTATAGCATAGCTATTGGACTTCTCATCATTCTCAAAAGTAGAAAGCACCTAACAATATTTCCTTGCTGCTACTGGTATACACTAATATATAAATATCCTCAGAGGAAACAGAACAATTTATTGCTCATTTCCTGATACTAGTTGAATATGCAGACAAATTAAGTTGCTCATTGCCCAGGCTTTCTTAAAAAAAAAAGACCAGTTCCCCCCTGTTAACCTGCCCACAGGATATTTCATTCATGATCACACATAGCAGATGTAAAGAAGCTACAAGCCCACTTCAAAGATACCTCTTTCTCTTCTTTGAGTTTGGTGAGCATAACTATAACAGGAACCTGTTCCTGCCACACCATCATCCAGAAATCATTAACTGTATTTAGCATGGGCCCTTGAGTGGCAATGTAGACTTTCTCCTGCCCATCGTAACCCTAGAAGCAGAGAGAGAAATAGCCATGAGGAAAGACCAGCTCCAACATGCACTTGCAGAATTCTCATGTTCATAAGACCCCGGCTCACCCGAATGTAGTTTGCATTTATGTAGCTCTCCTCTTCTTGGTTGTCAGCACTCTTGAGGTAGACACGACTCTGGGGATCTAGAGGCACAGTTCAGTTAGATCATGCGTCCATCTCCATTTAGCATGGAGGATGGCTCCCTACATTAACCAAGCCAATCCTGCTATGGGGAATCTATGTCACAGTAACCTCAAGGCTAGACTGTTGTAACGTACTTTACAGAGGACTGCCCATAAAGATAATTCAGAAGCTTCAGATGCCCCTGTCCTAGATAGACCAGGCAAGCCAAATCTCATCAGATCTTGGAAGCTAAGCATGGTCGACTCTGGCAAGTACCTGGATGGAAGACCTCCTTGGAATACCAGCAGTTAGGAGGCGGAGGCAGGCTTTGTTCAGCTACCTCTATGAATATCCTCCAGGCCCCCAGTAGGATTCAGTCACCAGAGGTTGCCATAACTTCCAGGTGCACACACATTCACATGTACACACACATACACATGCACATATGAGAAATACAGAAGCTTCAGCTGTACCAGCTTGTACAGAATGCCACAACTCAATTTCTATCAAAAGCAAGGCAGAATTAGCATATTACACCTATTCTACAGTCTCTTCTTTGGTTTTTGGGCTCCATTCAAGGTGCAGGTTATTATCTATAAAGTCCTTCATGACCTACATATCCCAACAGTCACCTCTGCAACAGGCTTGTACTCTCATGGACAGGGGGACCATTTAGATCACTGAGAATATTCTCAATAAGCCTATGCTACTGTTGCTGCTTCTCCACAATATGGGAGGAGCTATAGGCTTGCCTGTCATTTGTTGCAGTGCAGCACAGGGCTGTTTATGTTTGGCTTGACCAGTGCCAGCTTGATGTAACTTGCTGCCACAACAAGCATTCTCTTCCTGTGCTGCCCTCATGAACTCCACATTTTGGATCCTCGTGGTAGCAAAACTAAAATACATATGCACCTTTTCCTGTGGAACCCATGCAGGCTTCAAAACGAGCTCCAAAGGTAGTTGCTTGAAAGCTGGCTTGGGCTTTGACCTAATCACAGGGGTAGTTGCTATAGAAATTGCTTCCTCTTGGGCCAGCCAGAACAAAACCAAGCAGCTGACCCATTACACTACAACAAAAGTGGTGGGGGCTTCACTGGTCACTTTCAACACAATCTGGAACTGCTTGGTTTCAATAGCCACCAAAAGCATGGAGAGAAAAAATAGAGGAAAGGGGTGTAGCACCAGGTGGGCATGCACAGTTCATAAGTGAACCTGGAGCACTGCTCTTGTGAAGAAGGAGGAGGAGGAAAAGGAGGAGGAGGAGGAGGAGAATGGATTTATACCCCGCCCTTCACTCAGAGTCTCAGAGCAGCTTACAAACTCCTATCTCTTTGCCTCCCCACAACAGACACCGTGTGAGGTAGGTAGGGCTGAGAGAGCTCTTTCAAGAACTGCTCTTTTCAAGAGCAGCTCTGACAGAACTATGGTTTGCCCAAAGTCATCCAGCAGCTGCAAGTGGAGGAGTGGGGAATCAAGCCCAGTTCTCCTAGATGATGCACAAATTTGTGCCCATGTGCTCCTGGGGCCGAATTGGAAACACGCAGTCAGAATCCAACCAGTTAGATAAATCTGTTTATTGCAATGAAACAGGAGATACAGGGCTGAGTACCTTTTGGCCCCCAATGACACCAAGCTGTATCCAGCCATAACCAGGAAGGGAAGAAAATCTTATACCCCATATGACATTACTTATAATTTACACTTTACAGAATTCTGAATTAGCACCAGGCAGGTGGCATCACTAGAGCATCATTTGACTCATTTGACTTGACACCTCCCCATTGGCGTTCTTGTCTGCTGATCAGGGGTGTCAGTAATTATGTTAGCTTACTTTAGCTTATCTGGTCCTCCAAACAATGGAAAACACTAAGGAACACTGGGACCCTTTCTGGCTCCAGTGAGGCTAACTTCCCTCCACCTCGCTTTGGGGAGCTGGCTGATAAGGTGCCAATGAGTCACATTAAATTTGGGTCCAGGCAGGTTTCCTGGCACCAGATGCTCCTGCTATACAAGAGAATATTTTGTTTAGGGAACACTTCCAGTGCTAAGTGTCCTTGTAGCTTCTATGTATGCATTCCATTACATGTTTAAAAAAGTATACGGGGATACTTAAATCCCAAAAAACCTGAAACCACGTTCTCGCACATGCGTGGAGAATGGAATTACTGTTTGGAATTGTGGCGGAGCTTGCTGCTGGCAGTTGCGAGGGAGCCGGGGGAGCCTTGGCGGGCAGGCGGCTGGGAGCCATGCAGGGCTCACTGCAGTTGCTGCTGGGTGGGGGGGAGAAGCCTGGGCGGACAGGTGACTGGGAGCCACGCAGGGCTTGCCATCATTGCTGCTGGGTGGAGGGGAAGCCTGGGTGGGTGGCTGGGACCCAGGCAGGGCTTGCCACCGCTGCTGCTGAGCTCACCTGCGGCAGCTGCCTCCTCCTCCTCAGTGAGGACCTCCTCATGCTTTGAAGGCCAGGGGCCATGGGGCATACTCCCCCCGCGAGTATCGCGGGTCCGGCTTCTTGTTTCTGTCTAATTCCATCTAAGAGGCCTCTAATAATACTTCTTTCCAAGTATAACTTCATATAAAGGAGATACAATTAGAGAATATAGATATTCTACTATAGATTTATCTCATCAAAAGTTTCTAGGTTACATACCAAGATATGAATCTACTGTGATTAAACTTTTAAAGGCACAGTGATAGCTGTCAATATATATATCAGAGAAAATGTCAAAAATCACATTCAGAAATCACATCCACTCGGTCCTTTGTCCTACACAGATTAGAGTCCGCAAATGTAACTACTACACCAAACTGGCTCTCCAGTGAAGAGGAGCCCTCCAACCATGAGGAACTGGAGAAGTAGTTTCATATTGCTTTGTATTTGTAAGAGGTGTTTATGTGGTCATGCCCTGCCATCTGTCAATAAGTTGTGGATCAGGAGCACATGTGGGGTTGCACTGATGCTTTTTCCAATGCCTGTTTTAACTTCCCATTCCACTTTTACTCATGGGTTTCATATATTTGGCCAGACTCTTTCTATTGCCAATACATTTGCCTTTCAAACAATCCTGGCAGGACATAAAACTTATTCTAGAACTGATATCTGTTTCCCTATGAAGAAAGGTTAAAGTGCTTGGGGCTCTTTCGTTTGGAGAAACAACGACTGAGGGGTGACATGATTGAGGTTTATAAGATTATGCATGGGAAAGAGCAGGTAGAGAAAGAGGTACTTTTCTCCCTTTCTCACAATACAAGAACTCGTGGGCACTCCATGAAATTGCTGAGCGGTCGGGTTAGAACGGATAAGAGGAAGTACTTCTTCACCCAAAGAGTGATTAACACTTGGAATTCACTGCCACAGGAGGTGGTGGCGGCTACAAGCATGGACGGCTTCAAAAGGGAATTAGATAAGCATATGGAGCAGAGGTCCATCAGTGGCTATTAGCCACAAGGTATAGATAGGGACTCTGGGGCAAGTGATGCTCTGTCATCTTGGTGCTTGGTGGGGGTCAATAGTGGGAGGGCTTATAATGTCCTGGCCCCACTGGTGGACCTCCTGATGGCACTGGTATTTCTGGCCACTGTGGGATACAGAGTGTTGGACTGGATGGGCCTTTGGCCTGATCCAACATTGGCATCTCTTATGTTCTTATGCTCTTATTCTTTACAGTCTGAGCTTTAAAACCATTGTAGCTATCCTATAAAAGTCTCACTTGAAATTCATTTTTGTGGCAGCAACTCAGGGGCACATTACATAATTCACATGCAGAAACAGGGGCCAGCTCTGTGTTGGGAAATCCCTGGAGATTTTGTAGTGGAGTTTGAGGAGGGCAGTGTTTGGGAAGGATATAATGCCACAGAGTCCACCTTCTAAAGCAGCCATTTTTTCCAGGTGAATTGGCCTGTCTCATCTGGAGAGCAACTGTAATTCGAGTAGATATCTGGGCCCCACCTGGATGTTGGCAACCCTATGCAGAAGGCCACAGGTTCCGTTCCTGCCATCTGCGGTTAAATGAGCTCAGACATCAGGCTGTTATTCCAATCTTAGCTGTATTTATTGCTCAGTTACTTAGGCATTTTTACTCTAGTTCTTCCTGTCTACTAATCCCACCCCACCTATATCTAATATTTGAGGAAATCTGTTTCAGTGAATCTGAAGGTGTATATGTATGAAGTCTATAAGTTCTCGCTTGTACCCAGAATTGAACTTTATTTGTTTTGTAGGTGCCACTGGACTCAAACCTTGTTCTCACACCTGTTTGTTAATGCTTGAATGTGTATGCTAATTTTCTGCCATTCACAGATTTTTCTTACATCCAATCTTAGCTATAATCACCTAGCACTTATGCATTGTGGACTCTAAATGGCTCTTCCTGAATGGCCCTTCCTATAAGTAATATTTAAGGAGGTTCCATTCCACTGTATCTGATGCTTGCATATGAAAGCTTATACCATGAATAAAACTTTGTTGGTCTTAAAGGTGCCACTGGACTCAAACTTTGTTTGATATAAGACAGTTTCAGAAGCTGGAAGCTATTGAATTAAAATAATGCCACACATACAGTGTGGATATATGAAGATGGATCACACAGTCCTTGAGGGCCTCAACTAGGGGTCTGCGAATGTCCCACAGAGTATGATGTCTGTGATGCAACAATACAAATCCTGAGTGAAGCACTAGATAAAATCCAGACAAATGTCTTTCACACTCCCACACCCCAGGAGGACCAAAGCCGCACGTACTTGGTAGGATGGATTTGTATCTGTCCTTTGCTGCTCGTCCTGGAATGTCCAGCTCTTCTGAACTGGCAAAGTTTGAAGGGATTTTCTGTTAAGGAGTAAAGGAAGAATTACTGAAACAACTTCCCGAAACACAGATGGCCAAAACTATTGGAAATAGTTTTATAGAAAACTTGCTCCGAAGATTTATCTGTAGTGTTAGCCACCAAGATAATGGTAGCTCTACAGAAATCTTCACTGCCAGCTTTCCTGCTTTACCTAGTTCTGTATAATGGGAACAAAGGAGGCTTTATGTCAAATATTTACTAATCAGGATGCTAGTAGGTTTACAATAAGGTCCTGGGTGGACTCAATCTTTAGAAACCTTTCCTAGGCACAAGAAAAATCCTTTCGCTGTTTCTAGCAGCAGTTGTATGGGATGTAGCCTTGAGGGCCCAGCGGGGCTTTGTGCAGTAGGAGCTTGCAAATAATAAAAAATCAGGATGAAGCACCTCTGAGCATCTTACCGCAAACTCCTCTTGAAGCGCCTCTAAATTCCAGCACCTCTGCTGGAGCATCTCCTGAGTAAGAACATGACTCGCTGATTTCAGGAGCTGCACTGTGACATCCCTTGGAGTAGAGACTGATAGAATGGGTTCTGTGTTGTTCAGAGAACTCATGTCCAGCACCAGGGACACATTCGAACCCCTTCTGAAAGACAAATAAGTCTGGATATGCAAACTCTCAGCCTGGAAACCACAGCTGGTGTCACCGGGGGGTGGGGTGGGGGGATGATTTGCTGATGCAAACTGCTGAAAAGACTCATAACAGATAATTGAATCCAGTGACACGAGCAACATTGCACAATTCTTATATATGACAGCATGGTAGCCCCTTTGGATTTTTTCTTTTTGCATAAAGACAGACACAGAAGGAGGACTAATGGAGGGGGATACCTGTGTAGGAGCGTAGACACACACACCCTCCCCACAGCAGATGTAGACCCAAACTGGAGCCAAACCTCCATGTGGAAGCAAGCAGGCATTCTAAACTTTGGTACATATTTGCTTACTGGGAGATTTTCATTAAGATTATTTTGAAAGTACAGCAACCCATATATATGTATATATAATAATATTATTGCTATTATATAGTTTGGTTTTTAGATATAACTTTCAATGTTACATTTTTTACATGTGAGCATGAAAATCATGGAATACAATGGAATAAATCATGGAATAAAACTTGTGCACTTGTAGGAGGAGCTGGTGGACGCCAGAAATAGTGTCTGTGCTGTTGTCGATTTTAAAATTTTAATTTTGTGTGCACTGTATTTATTATTGTATTGTTACTCAAACTGTTGTGACCCGCCCTGAGCCTGCTTGCAGGGAGGGTGGGATATAAATCCAAATAAGTAAATACATAAATATGTAAATAAATAAATAAAACCCATGATCTTTATAATGTCACCATATGGACACATGGAATAAAATGTACATGTGAGTGATTATTTATATTTCTTCCTAGCAAACCTTTTTTAATTTTTGTTTTAAACTTCTTTTGGCATTGTCTGGGTTTTTCTAAATTCTATTTTCATTTTTCAGGAATCAATTAACACATGGTCTGACTAATTATATTAACACTTGTTTTTGTTGTGCATGTATGTATTTGTGACCACTGAAGAAGGCCCATTGGGCCAAAATGCCTCTGGCCTTTTTTTACTGTGGCTTTGTTTGTGGACTATCAAATCGGAGATACTCATTGAGTAGGGTTGCCATCCTCCAGGTGAGGGCTAGAGATCTCCTGGGATTACAACTGATCTCCAGGCGACAGAGATCAGTTCACCTGGAGAAAACAGCTGCTTTGGAAGGTGGACTCTTTGGCATTACACCCCACTGAAGTCCCTCCCCTCCTCAAGCCCTGCTGGCCTCAGGGTCCACCACCAAAATCTCTAGGTATTTCCCTACCTGGAGTTGGCAACCCTACAGATTTAATGTGGTCTTGTTTGTATATCATCAACTCTGAGAAACTCACTTATACTATATGCTGTATATTGAGGACGACTCAGTCCAGTGGCTTTCAGTTTAAAGGCTAAATTCAAGGTCCATGTTTTTTAAATTTGTATTTTAAGTACATTGTATAATAAATTAATATATTTTGTTTATTTTACTTTTATATTTTTTTCCTCATCCTTCACTATACCTAACATATTCGCTGCATTCTGTAGCATTTACTTTCAGGGAAGAGAATGTGTCCACTTATAATCTCGTGTCCATTTATAATGGGTCCCTCTGTGCAACAGCAGGCAAAGATTTTGGTTCCTAACTGGTCTGGAGAAAACGTCCTGTCCATTTAACAGAGGTGATTTTTTTAATTTTATGAAATGTATACCCCACCATTGTGCTCCCATAAAGGCCGCCAACACGGCTACCAAATTAAAACTTTCATAATAAAATAACATCTTAAAAACCATTAAAACAATTAAAATCAGAGCTAAAATACATACAAAAGCATAAAAGTGACAAAATAAGGAGGGATAACTGAGGGAGCCTCAAAAGAAACAAACAAAAAAAGTATTCACCCACTGGTGGAAGATGGGAAAATGCAGTGGTATTTAACAGGTGCCCTGATCTGGATGGCACAAGCTAGCTAGCTGCATCTCATCAGAATTTGGATGCTAAGCAGGGTTGGCCCCGGTTAGTATTGGGATGGGACACACACACTGCTAAGGAAGTCCAAGGTCACTACTCAAAGGCAGACAATGGTAAACTACCTCTGAATGTCTCTTGCCTTGAAAACCCTCCAGGGTTGCCATAAGTCAGTTGTGACTTGACAGCAAAAAAAGTGATGATATTTACCTCTGTGCCATGAAAGCAGCCTATTTCCACATACTAAATGTTTATTTAAGGAACAGGATATTTTTCTGGAGGCCAGTTAGCAACCCTACCTAGCAGTCAAGTGGACAAGAGCAAGGATATGCTTGGGAAAATGCTAGGAAAAATGTATTAACTAGGTACATCCTACTCTTCTTTTTAAGAGGTACATCCATCCCACTCGAAGAAGAAGAAGAAGAAGAAGAGATTGGATTTATACCCCACCCTTCACTACCCAAAGGAGTCTCAGAGCGGCTTACAAACTCCTTTCCCTTCCCCTCCCCACAACAGACACCCTGTGAGGTAGGTGGGGCTGAGAGAGCTCTTGACAGAAACTGCTCTTTTTCAAGGACAGCTCTTATCAGAACTACAGCTTGCCCAAGGTCATCCAGCCAGGTGCAAGTGGAGGAGTGGGGAATCAAACCTGGTTCTCCCAGTTTAGAGTCCGCGCACTTAACCACTACACCAAACTGGCTCACGAGAGATCAGAGTCAAATTTTAGACTCCAAGCAGCCCTGTGAGGTTGCTTAGGCTTAGAGACAGAGACATGCTCAAGGGAGGCCATCCAGGTAAACCCAAAAATTAACAAGAATTTGAACCTCAGCTTCTTACATTTGTATCCAGAACTGTAGTCATTGTACTACATTTGCTCCCCATATCATTTAGGGGAGGTTTGATGAGCGATCTGGGACTGGAGATCTGGTATAGTCCAGAGAGTCAAGTATTGCAAGTCAACTGTACAGAATAAAGCTGCTTGCCATCAAACTGAATGGAAGCAGAATCAACTGGAACAGAACCAAACATTAGCAGAGAGAGCCGGTGTGGTGTGGGGGTTATGTGCCATGGAAGCTCACTGGGTGACGTTGGGCCAGTCACATTCTCTCAGCCTAACCTACCTCACAGGGTTGTTGTGGGGGAAAATGGATGAGAGGAGACACCGTAAGCTGCTTTGGTTCCCCATTGGTGAGAGAGCTGAGGTACAAACAAATGAAATAATGAATAAAATAGAAGCTATCTTTGAACTTGTAAAATAGCCTGTGTAATGGAGTGGTTACAGTGTTGGAGTAGGATCTCAGAGACTGAGGTTTGGATCCCCACTCTACCATGGAAGGTTGCTGGGTAACCTTGGGCCAGTCACTCTCTCAGCCTAACATACGTCACAAGGCTGTTGCTGTAAAGATAACATGAAGGAAGGGAGAATGATGTTGCAAGACATTTTGGGCCCTCACTGAGCAGGAAAGTAGGATAAATAAATAGAAGTAAATGACTACAGCTTCAGTAAAACAGTTCTCAGATGTTACATATATCATCCCAAAATTTCCTAAATTGTGTCAATTTCATTTTGATATTGTGATGAATAAAAATGTCCATATATGGGTCCTGAAGATAGTGGCATACTGTCAGATCCCTGTGGAAAGAACCTGGTTATTTAATCTTGCCCTTCATCCATGGTTCCCTTCCCCAAATCATGTCACAACAATCTTGTGAGGTCAGTTATACTGAGGAAGACAGATTGCCCCAGTCTCCCAGTAAGCATCACGGCAAGGTAGGGACTTTGACGACGGTCTCCCTGATCTTAACCATTATGCCACATTTGGCCCTACTAAAGCAGCATGAAAACATGTTTTGAATAATATAGTCATTTTCATCCATTGTTGCATGTAGGGAATGGCTTTTATTTATGGGACACATGATCATTCTAGATGCTGGAATCTACCCAAGAACTCCACAGATTTACCTGTCCTGCAGACGCACATGTTTCTTCACCTCCCGATTACTGATGGTAGGCTTGTCCATTCCGTCTTTCAGTTCCTTATGGAGCAGGTTGGATCTATGAACTCTGGAGCATGTTAGGCAGGCAAGGACCATGCTGCACCAGCAGCAGATACTCTGCACTGAGAGTCCAGAGTCACCAGGAACCAGATACTACTCAGGTCAATGAATGTTTAGGGTTGGAGAAACACCTACAGATCACAAAGCAAATCAGTTTCATTGAGAGTTCCCTGATCTTCCTGTTTCCTGAAAAGATGCTTTAGCGTAGGCATTAGAACAATCCTAAGGAGCTGCGGTGGCTCAAGTGGTTAAGATGCTGAACTGCAGGCTGTGGAAGGTCAGTAGTTCAGCAGTTCGAGACCCGAGTGTGCCACATGACGGAGTGAGCTCCCGTCTCTAGTTCCAGCTCCTGCCAACCTAGCAGTTTGAAAGCAAGAAATTGCAAGTAGATAAATAGGTACCACTTTGGTGGGAAGGTAACAGCATTCCGTGCGCCTTTGTGTTTAGTCATGCTGGCCACATGACCACGGAAACGACTTCGGACAGCGCTGGCTCTTCGGCTTTGAAACGGAGATGAGTACCACAACCCTAGAGTTGGATTCGACTGGCTTTCGAGCAAGGGAACCTTTACCTTTACCTAGAACAATCCTGCTGCATCATACACATTCACAAAGGGTGGACCCTACAGAGCTGGGGAGGAGGTATATTCCTCCATCCATGACAAGCTAGCCGACAGCAGAGACAAGGGCTTCTAAGGTCACTTCATGGAACCCATAAAGCTATCATCACAGCACTTTTGTTTCAAAAAAAGTTACAATCCCACTGAATGTAGCAGATATCCGTTCTTCCAGGTCTTTCTGAACCTTACAGAAGAGATGTTACACTTCTGTCCAACCCAACAGTGTTGTATTTGACATCCTCCTTCTATGTCTCCACATTTCCAGTAGATACTGAGATCTCCCCCACCCCAGCTGCCCATGAGTCTCAGTTCTGACCATTCACTTACCCAGTGCTGTCAGCAACCTCCTCATCTCCCCTTTCTGTTTCCAGCTGAGCCCTGGGGCTTCAAGAATGTGCATATACAGTGCAAACAGTGAATGCAGGAAACTCCTTATCACAGAGCTGATGGCTGCTCTGACACTTCCCCCTCTTGCCCCACCCTTGTAGCCACCCACACATGTGCTGGCCACAAACTGAAAAGCTCCATCCGCAAACACAGCCCCGAGACACTAAAAGGCACCTTTGAGCCTCTTGCATGCTGTTTATGCCACATACAACTGTTGTTAATGAGGGACTGAAACAGGAGTGTGGAAAGAAGACATTCTCAATAGAATACACAATTTAAGTTTCATGTTTTCCTTACAAACCAATTCAAGCAACATGACGATTTAGGCCTCACATCTGAAGAAGTGTAGTAAATACTTCAGTCCAGGGAAAGGCTTGAAGACATGTTCAGGAAAGTTGAAGGGTAACAGAATGGAAATATTCCGACACAGCCACATTATAGTGGAAACTTTAATCCTTGGGACATTTTGCAAAATTGCTTTGAGACCTCATCTTTCACTGCCAGTACAGTCTAAAAAGGAGATGAGGTTTTTCTGCTCACTAGCAAGGTTTCTAGGTAGTTGGCTTAAGACACCCAGGACTAATACTCCGATGTCTCCTGAGAAGCAAAACTAAAAAGCAGGGAACAACTGCAACATAATTTGTTTATTTGCTTATTTGGTGTAGTGGTTTGGTGTAGTGGTGTAGTTTGTTTATTTGCCAGTTTGGTGCAATAGTTAAGAGTGGCAGACTCTAATCTGGAGAACCGGGTTTGATTCCCCACTCCTCCACATGCAACTGCTGGTGTGACCTAGGGTCAGTTACAGTTCTCTCAGACCTGTTCTCTCAGGAGCTGTTCTCTCAGAGCTCTCTCAGCCCCACCTACCTCACAGGGTGTCGGTTGTGGGGAGAGGAAGGGTAGGAGATTGTAAACTGTTCTGAGACTCTGAGTGAAGGGCAGGGTATAAATCCAGCTCTTCTTCATTTATGCTCTGCTTTTCTCCCCAATGTGGACCCAAAGCCAGTGTGGTATAGTGGTTAAGAGTGGTGGACTCTAATCTGGAGAGCCAGAATTGGTTTCCCACTCTTCCACATGGACTGCTGGGTGACCTTGGGCCAGTCCCAGTTCTCTCAGAACTTTCTCAGCCCCACCTACCTCAGACACTTACCTATCTCACAAAGTGACTGTTGTAGGGAGAGGAGAGGGCAGCAATTGCAAACTGCTTTGAGACTCCTTAGGGTAGAAAAAAGTGAGGTATAAAAACCAACTCCTTCTTCCTCTCCAGACTCCACCCCCCCCCCCCAATCCAGGTATTTCCCAAGTGGCAGCTGGCATCCCTACCGGTGAGGTAGGTAAGACTGAGAGTGTGTTAGTGGCCCAAGGTTACCCAGCAAGCTTTCATGGCAGAGTAGGAACAAAAGCCAAAACTTAAAAGCAAAAGAGTTGCAGAAAAACACATATAAATCCTAAGTGAAATTAGACCTAAGACCATTGAAAAGTCAGTGGATCGTAAAGGGGTATCTCAGTTTAGGACTGCATTGTTTTTCTAACAAGTAAGGTACGTGTGTAAAAAAAGTACGGCCAAAAAGAGCACTTTCATAATATATATCAAACATTTGTTTTCTATTAATATATACATAAAGGGAAGGCAGTATAGTATAGCCCAATTTCATAAGATCTTGGAAGCTAAGCATGATTGGTACTTGGATGTAAGATCACCAAGGAATAAGCTTTTGTGTGCAAGTACACTCTCTCAGATACAATGTAATGGAAATTACCTGTCCATACATATAGGTAGAGGGTGAGCAGTAAATTAGCATACAGCATAATGAATAATGAATAAAGCAAGAGAGTACCAGAAAAACATCTACTTCTGCTTCATTGACTATGCTAAAGCTTTTGACTGTGTGGATCACAACAAACTATGGCAGGTCCTTAAAGAGATGGGACAACCCATATAAATAAGTTGCTAGAATCTTTATTTGGGTACTATTTCCTCTTTGGCCATTTAAGTTTTCTTTAAGACATAGATGATGGGGAGAAACAAGGAGAGCAAGAGTGTCTGTTGTTAACATAATAGTCTTTAAGCTGGTAAAAGTAAAGGAAGTCCAAAATGCATTGCACACTGAACAACATGATTAGGCAACATAACATCAGTTGAAACACTGCAGTTAAGACCCACGGCAGAACATTATAATTAGGAGAGGCCTTGTCATTGTAACAAGTACATTGTTGAGTTCTGAACAAGCCACAGTCAAAATGGAAAAGGATGTGGGAAGCAATATGGACAAAATACACATTCAGCCAACACAAATGCAGTAGCCGAGTAACCCAAGATATTTTTAGTGTATCAATGAGTTTCCTCACATGGGTAACCATTCTGATTTCAGTTAACTTGGGTAGGGGGGAGCTCTCCTCAAGTTCAGCTGAATTTTGACTAGTCTGTTTCTGAACAGCTTGCAAAAGTAGAAGAGGACCACAAATAAAATAGTGAAAATGTCAAGAAGAATTATTTTCCTAAGTGGGACTACTATATTTCCATGCAGGGTTTTAAAGAAAAGATTAAAAGCCAAGGTTTTCCATATAACCAACAGAAACCTCTAGGAGCTGGGTGCCAGATACATGTGGCTGAGCTGCAGAGATTTTCATGGGCAGATGATAAAGAGCAATTTTCAAGAAGTTTTTTCCTGTTTATGAAAAACAGTTTCTTTGAATAAATTCTAGAACTCTCTTAAATTAACTCTTACTTCCTCTAGGCACCATCCCGGGCACACTGTCAGCATTTTGCCCCCATAGGATAACTTTAATATGGTAGTTTGGTGTAGTGGTTAAGTGTGCGGACTCTAATCTGGGAGAACCGGGTTTGATTCCCCACTCCTCCACTTGCACCTGCTGATGTGACCTTGGGTCAGTCACAAGCTCTGGCACAGCTGTCCTTGAAAAAGAGCAGTTTATCGTACCTTATCGTAGCCTTCTGGGTTGGGAAATTCCTGGTTATTTGGAGGTGGGACCTGAGGAGGGCATGTTTTGGGGAGGGGAGGGGAGGGACCTCAGCAGGCTATAATGCCATAGAGTCCACCCTCCAAAGCAGCCATTTTCTCTAGGGAACTGATGTCTGTCATCTGGAGCGTCAGTTGTAATTCCAGGCAATCTCCAGATCCTACCTGGACGCTGGCAACCCTAGCTGAAGGCCAGTTTACAATGTCCTCATATTTGCCAGGTGTGGACACCAGGACTCTGCAACAGATAGATTTTTTTTTGCATCCCAAATATGGCTGCCAAGTTTCAGGTGCCAGTGAGACCCAGTGTGGTGTAGTGGTTAAGAACGTCGGGAAGATCCAGGTTCCAATCCCTTGGGTCAATCACACACTCTTAGACTTACCTACCCCACAGGGTTATTGTAAGGATAAAATGGAGGAGAGGAGAACACTGTAAGCTGCTTTGGGTCCCCATTGGGGAGAAAGGTGGGATATATATGAATTAAATATGCCTTTGCATAGCAGCGCTGGACTTCCTTGGTAGTTTCCCGTCCAAGTACTAACCAGGCCTGATCCTGCTTAGTAGCCAAGCCCCAGTGCGATCAGGCTAGGCCTGGGCCATCCAGGTCAGGGCAGAGATTTCTTACCACTGTCCCCCCCAGATGGAATATTTGGCTAATATAGCAGAGTTTGCCCAGCCATAGAAGTAGTAAATAAATCTCCAAAGCAGTATGTGGCAAAAAAAGGTAAACTTATTTTTATTCAAGTAGATCACGTTCACATTCAGGTTGTAGTCGAAAGGAGAGAGAGAAGCCTAATCTGAAGAGTACTTTCAGAGCCAGTTTGGTGTAGTGGTTAAGTGCGCGGACTCTAATCTGGGAGAACCGGGTTTGATTCCCCACTCCTCCACTTGCACCTGCTGATGTGACCTTGGGTCAGTCACAAGCTCTGGCACAGCTGTCCTTGAAAAAGACCAGTTTGTGTCAGCGCTCTCTCAGCCC